CGGACTAAACGTAGAACAGGAATATCGACCGAAATAGAATTACTTCTCTAGCGAACGTTGTTTCATTCTCAACCCTATAGATGACCTCCTAGTAGCGGATTCATCGATTCTACTCATACAGTGAGCGAAAGTTCTCAGCAAAGCTCTAAGCTCTGAACGAACCAAACTAGAGCGTTGCTGTTGCTGTCAACAGATGGGGCTCTGTATAGCAGATAATGTAATTTCCGAATGAAAGAAAACGAAGGAGGCTTGAAAATCTTGTTCCATCAATTACAATCGTAATAGACCTATTAAAGTATGATGTGAAAGTTTTGGCAAAATTCATTGGCTCTGATTCTGACAAACACAAAACAATATCAAGTCCCAATAGGGGCTTTACTGTCTAGGAAGGTTTGCGTCTAGTAGAGCAGGATGATCCACTCCACATAATTCGATAGAATAGTTAAGTATTGAGTTGTAATTTATTATAACTTATTAGTGTTCAAATCAATTTCTTCATTAAAAAAAAAGTCTTACATATTTTGAGCGAGACTACGATTTCTATAGTTTTATTTATTTATTTATTTATTTATTTATTTATTTATTTATTTATTTATTTATTTATTTATTTATTTATTTATTTATTTATTTATTTATTTATTTATTTATTTATTTATTTATTTATTCATTTATTTATTTATCAAAGAGCGACTGAGAGAGAACTATGGCCTTTATGGGCTAATTAAATCTAAAAAGGCCTCCCGCAGATGTAGGTTTCGTCTGTGGCATGATTGGTAATTTCACCATTTTAGGAGCTTTATTAAGGTCCTTATGACGCAATGAGTTGAAGTAAGCTGACGTTAATTGCAAAGTCATATACCTGGTTACTGTTCTTTTTTTGGACGTGTCAGGTTATGATTTGATCCAGCTTCTCAAGCTCCATCCTGCTGAGTGCTGGAACAATAATCCAAAAATAAAAACATGTTAGTTGAAGTTGATTTATTGCAAATATTTTTCCTTCAGGTAATATTGATGAGATTTATGTTAAGCTACGGTTAAAAATCTCAGTGTGAATGGATAAGGACATAATATAAATCTACTGGACGACATATTATTTCAACGCCACGTACTTGAAAGAAGCATTTATACTGTATAATTTGGAAGGTCCAATTAGTTGTTCACGTCTTATTTTCATTCCGATCCCGCTGGATATTCCTCAGATCTTTCAACACGGTTCTAATTAATATACCAGCAGCGGCAGTGCTGTTAAGCCCGTTGTCAGACGAATATTGATAGCGATGTAGCTTTGTTATGTACTATACAGAGTTACTGGTAATTTGCTCTTCAGGTCGTAATAGGAGATAAAAAATTTGACCATATAACTGTATAGCACAAAATATTTTTCCAGATTTCTAGAATTTCTTAACAATCACTCGAAATTGGGCATTAGAGAAAAATTGACAAGCAGCTTAAATAGTAATTGCACGAGAATTCGAACGATTTGCATTGCTTAGTATATTTGTTAGAATGTTAATATGCTAGCATGTTAGTATGTATGTTAGTATGTTAGTATGTTAGTATGTTGTATGTTAGTATGTTAGTATGTTAGTATGTTAGTATGTTAGTATGTTAGTGTGTTAGTATGTTAGTATGTTAGTATGTTAGTATGTTAGTATGTTAGTATCTTAGTATGCTAGTATGTTAGTACGTTAGTACGTTAGTATGTTAGTATGTTATTATTTTAGTATATTAGTGTGTTAGTAAGTTAGTATGTTAGGATGTTAGTATATTAGTATGTTAGTATGTCAGTATGTTAGTGTGTTAGTAAGTTAGTACGTTAGTATGCTAGTATGTTAGTATGCTAGTATGTTAGTATGTTAGTATGTTAGTATGTTTAGTATGTTAGTATGTTAATATGTTAATATGGTAATACGTTAGTATGTTAGTATTGTAATATGTTAATATGTTAGTATATTAGTATGTTAGTATGTTAGTATGTTAGTATGTTAATATGTTAGTATGTTAGTACTTTAGTACGTTAGTACGTTAGTACGTTAGTACGTTAGTATGTTAGTATGTTAGTATGTTAGTATGTTCGTATGTTCGTATGTTAGTATGTTAGTATATTAGTATGTTAGTATGTTAGTATGTTAGTATGTTAGTATGTTAGTATATTGGTGTGTTAGTATGTTGGTATGTTAGTATGTTAGTATGTTAGTACGTTAGTAAGTTAGTATGTTAGGATGTTAGGATGTTAGTATATAGTATGTTAGTATGTTTAGTATGTTAGTATGTTTAGTATGTTAGTATTGCAGTATGTTAGTATGTTAATATGTTAATATGGTATACGTTAGTATGTTAGTATTGTAATATGTTAATATGTTAGTATATTAGTATGTTAGTATGTTAGTATTGTATGTTAGTATGTTAGTATGTTAGTATTAGTATGTTAGTACGTTAATATGTTAGTATGTTAGTACGTTAGTATGTTAGTGTGTTAGTATGTTAGCCTGTTGGTATCTTAGTATGTTAGTATATTAGTTTGTTGTGTATTAGCATTTTAATATGTTAGTATCTTGGAATGTTAAGATTTTCAACACACAAAATGAATTAGCTGATGTTACAAACTGACCATTCATAATTTCTACAGTCTCACTATGGTATGGGCATATACAGGGTTATCCAAATTAAGTGTCCACCATTAGTAACTTTGTTATTAGTGAAAATACAAAGTTGTTTCAATTAGCAAACTAGTAGCATTTTTAACGCTGGTAAAAATGAGAAATAAAAAAAACAATTGAGAGTCGTTATTTTGATTTTTTCAGTAAAATAACATTTTTTTAAATGGAAACCCCTGTATATTATATTTTTTTCTGTTAAAGCATCAAATTTTAAACAAAAAAGCTTACAATAACTTTTCTCCTAGGTTACAAATTGTTGAAGTTATGGCCTCCAATCTGAAACAATTAAATTGTATCGACAAACTTTATTTTCAACATCAACTTATAATCTTACAAAATACTATAACAATTTTTTTTAAAGAAGATGCTCGAAAACACCACCTTGTTCTTCAATACATTTTGGGCACGTTTTTCAACTGCTCGAACTGTCTTAAGTATGGTCCTACCATCTATCTGGGTTATCTTTTCCCTAACTGCAGTCTTTAACGCGTCAAGGTTATCGTACCTTCGCTTGTAAATTTGGTTCTTTAAGTAACCTCACAAGAAGTAATCAAGTGGGTTTAGATCTGGTGATCTGGGAGGCCACTGTATTGGGCCATTTGTTCCTATCAACTGATCATTAAAAGTAGTACTTAGAAAATGATAAGTACCTCTGGAGTTGTGGGCAGGTGCGCCATCTTGCTGAAAATGCAGATGATGTCTACTTATAAGATCCAATTCGTCTAAGAAATTAGTCAGAATTTCTGACATAAATTCCACATATCTTTCACCAGTTAGGGTTCCCTCATAAAAGAACGGGCCAACAATTTTTGAACCGCACCAAACGTTGAAACTGAAACGGACTTGTGGGCCTCTTGGATGTACTAACAAAAGATTTTCTCTTGACCAATAATGGTGGTTTTTTCTATTAAACATTCCAGAATTTGAAAAATTTGATTCATCTGTCCATAAAAGGTAACGAAAGTTATTTACATTTTGGCGACAGAAGCTAAGATACCAATGGCAAAAAACAAGTCTTCCCTCTGGATCCCCTGCCAAAAGCGTTTGAACTGGTCGGTACTTATACGGAATAAATTTGTATTTTTTTTAAATCCTTTGAACAGTACCATAACTGAAATTAGAGTCCTTGAGAATATCTGCTATTGAATTCTCACGATAAGCTTCAAAATATCCAATAACTGCAATTTCCGTGGCCTCGCTTATTATGAATTCTTTTTTTGCCCTTGTTTTAGCAAAAACATTTTCGTTGCCCCTAAATTTTCGATAAAGTCTCAGAAAATATCGTTCATATGGTTGAATGCGAGCGGGATATAATTCACTGTAGTATTCTCTTGCTCTCAAGGAGGATTTTCTGCACACTAAATAGCATTCTAACATATCACACTTTTCTTCATGGGAGAACATTTTTCTTTAAATTAATGACACAATAAAGCTTATAAACAAGTATTTACACTAATGTTTGACATTATCTGATTTTATCATTGTTTTCCAAAGCCTTCTAGTTGCGAGTATGTCCAGTTTAACAATTTGTCGCTTATCTTAATGCTGTCAAATCGCGAACGCCATGTTGTTTTCATAGCCGTCTTAATATTATAATACTGCAAATAATTAAAAATATTTATCGTTATTTTGACTTTATTTTTGACTTTAGCGGAAAAGTCATTATGAACTTTTTTGTTTAAAATTTGATGCTTTAACAGAAAAAAATATAATATACAGGGGTTTCCATTTAAAAAAATGTTATTTTACTGAAAAAAATCAAAATAACGACTCTCAATTGTTTTTTTTATTTCTCATTTTTACCAGCGTTAAAAATGCTACTAGTTTGCTAATTCAAACAACTTTGTATTTTCACTAATAACAAAGTTACTAATGGTGGACACTTAATTTGGATAACCCTGTATAATAACCATTTTATTAAGCTCTCACATAAAGTATCTTGAAGAATTTGCGGATTTACTGGTTCTATGAACTTTTTGACTTGAAATTACTCAATGAATCGTTTGTTAAATTTACGGTACCTACACACTTAATCAGCACCCTGTATTTAATAAAAAAGATGATAGTTTCCGCATAGTTATAGCTTTTTGATGAGTCTATGCAGGAACATACTCACGATACCTCGTATTTTTTCCAGGCGATTGAGTTGTTACTCATTAACGTTGTGCACCTTTAGACCAAAAGTTTTCTGTCAAGTATGATGATAACATCAATCAAATTTTCCGATACAGTTAAAACAAATAGAATATTTTACAAACCAATAGCGTTCCACTTTATTATCCCATTAACTTGTGTTCTGTCGCAATAAAATAAAAATAAACTCATTTTGCAACTGGACGCGTCCGATCCACATGGGACAACAGAAAATCTGAATTTTTTCCCACAAAAAGTGTGTCATTTAAAATAAGAAAAAACCAAATGTCGCACCTCTAACGCAGGATGTGTTCTGACTGTGATTTTGATCTAGTGGTATTTAGGCGGCGTCATTGAGAGGATTTGGTGAGTATTTTTCTGATTATTTATTGTTTTTTGTGTTGAGGGATGGCCTCACGGGATTTTTAAAAATAGCCGTGAAGCCATTCATATTCGCTGCAGCCGCCTTTAAGCCATAAAGATGGTCTGAATGCGTGTTTTTATTGAACATAATGTTAAACGACAGATTGACAAATTGGTACGTATGGCTATAACAGTATTTTTGTTTTATCGACCTGTGCCGGTCATTAGTGGGTTTCGCTTCTTCTTAATTGAATTTGTCGATGACATATGTTTGCAATATTATAACGAAATCCGCCGAAAATGTGTTGTTTTGATGCTTGAATCCGTTATTTGTAGCTGCTTTTCAAATGATTTGACTAAAAGTGACGCCTACGTAATGTTACAGAAATCTATGTCAATGCGGTCTTAAGCAGAAAAAGCTTTCATCTTTTGGTATAGATGTGTCTCAACCGATTACTGTCTAATAGTCCAGTACATGGATGATTTTGAAACGTCGATGTATACTAAGTGACATATAAATCCGAACAACCAGTTTAAATGGTTTTATTTTAATAAAATTTTGTATAAGTACTTAAAATTTCAAAATGATTGCACTGCTTTAAAGTCCTTTGACCTTTAATAATGTGTGGATGCACCCTGATGTGCTACACATTCTCCAACGCACCTAGGCATGCTTCTGATCAGTTGTTCAATGTCCTCCTGTGGTATCTCATTCCAGGCAACCACCAACTCCTCTCGAAGTGCTTTTAGAGTCTGAGGAGGACGTTGCGAATTGAGCAATCTCCTACCCATCATTATGTTGAAAGAAGTCTATTGTGACCCTTGCAACATGTGGTCGGGCATTATCTTGTTGGAAAGTTGGATCTGCCAGGGTGTCAAGATAGGGTAAAAGATGGGGTTAAAATAATATATTTAATAATAATAATAATAATAAGTTTATTCACGTATTGTAACAAAAGTATACGTGAATCAAATGCAAAGCTCTCAAACTTTCTCAAATCCCATCGCCGTCAACTGAGCCAACAGATAAAATGTCCACAAGTTGGCAGCCGAACGGAATTAAGTTATACGGATCATTAAGATCGGAAGCTAAGCTAAGCTTTTCGAAAACGCTGTACGTTTTAGATCCCAATACGTAGACTGAAGGAGTTCAAACTTTTTCCTTGAGTAGTTTCCGAGATACAAAGATTCAAATATTGTGGGTTCGGTACGCCATGTGCATACAGTGTGAGTCTTCATAAAGTGCACATATCAAAATCAGGGAAACAACACTCTATTTCGTCGACGGATAAATCATCAAAAAAACATGAATTTGATTTTTTATGAATATATGAATATTTTAAAATTTTTAGTAGCAGCTTCTAACCATATTGAAATAACTCGTTACAACCTTTAAACTATCATATTGGAATACATTTTATAGAGATTGCTGGTAAAAGGACGTGCCTGAAAAGTGAAGAATTCCAGGAAAAGTAATGACATCCATTTAGAATAAAGAAAATTTTGATGAAAATCTTTTTTTTTTTCATCATTTTTACAATAATTTCAAATTTTCTATAAATATCGTCCATTGTACCCTACCTTTTTTTATTTGTAAGTTATTCTACATGTTATCAGCTTTATAAAAATAAAAATTACACGTTTATTACTCAAATGTATCTATGATTGTTTATAAAAAAGCCCATGCGCATCGTCTTGCTAGGCACCATTGTTTATCATGTACAGTATATTCAGGTAAGAGATAGACCGGATGTAAACAAAAGGTTCGGGTGATTTTCACGCTAACGCCGCCGTCTCGACGTAAAGCAGGAGCCCTCATTGGTCAATTCGCAATTAAATGCCTATGCCGAGCGGCAGAGCAGTCGTATCAAGGCAGAGTCACATTCAGGTTCAGACGTGTTACGTATGTCGTGTGCATCATTGCAATTTGATATTTCTTTGGACGTTTTCGTTTGTTATCTTATTAAGTTGTTGAGTTTGTCGTTGTTATTGTTATACCTTGTTATTGATTGTTATTGTTATCAACTGCTTGCGCAAAATGCCCAGTAGTACAGATACTGCCGATGAAGTTGTAAACTCCTGTAGTCCACCTAGGAAACGCTCTAAAAAAAAGACACCTGAGTGCAGAAATGAAAGAGGTCATTTTGAATATATATAAGATCGAGCGCGAGGAGAACGAGGCATCAACCATCAAAGAAATTGTTGTGAAGGTTTCTCACAAAGTTGGGGTGTGTCGCGCATCAGTGTTTCTGTGTTCCTAGATGGACGGTCCACCGGATTAAAAAATCCAGCAGGTAAATACGAGTAATAGACAACAATCGGATGTCTTTCAAACCTTGGGAACAAGGTTCTAAACATTAATTCCAGGGGGCAGATAAAACATATTACAAGTAACAAAACTTTTATAACTTTCGATAAAATGCGTGGATGTTTTATTGTCATTTTCATTTGTTAGAACTTTTTTAAGCCATGTTTTTATGTGTTTTCGATATTTCAATAATTTTTTAATATAATCTTAAAATATGTCGAATATTATAAACTTAAAAAAAGTTACTAAGTTTTATATTGTGTACCGTTCCTAATATTTCTAATCATTTTAATTAATACTTTAAGTATTATAAAGTTATAATTTGTTGTTAATTAATATTTGCGCGTATTTGAGGTTCCTGATCATTCATTTTTTAAAGGTTTATAACTTTAAATTGAATTGTGAAGCGCTGAGTAATCATACGACGTTCAATATTCTTTCTTTCAATATGACTAAATAATCCCAATTATAGCAATCTGATACTCATGTCTCAATGTTTTTTCGCTGAATGTGATGAAAATATTTGAAAAAGGTTCGCTTATTGAAATACATCTACACCAGTTAGTACTTCGATTTCCAGGTAAAGGGAAAAGGCTCATTATCTGCCATATTGGCAGTGAGGATGGATTTGTTGTTGACGGTCTGTGGTGCTTTGAGTCTAAGAAAACTGGAGATTACCACGAGGAAATGAATGGCGAATCGTTTGAACAGTGGTTTTCAAAAATTTTTACCGAACTTAGAGGAAAACGCAGTAATTGTGTTGGATCATGCGCCTTATCATTCTCGAACAACGGCTTCAAGGAAAGTTCATGTTCAAAATTGGCTCCGCTCGAAAAATATCAACTTTGAAGAAGCAATGCTGAAATTACAATTATTAAGAATTGTCAAGGATCACAAGGCGGAATATCAAAAATACGCCATTGACGAAATGGCAGCAAGTCAAAATAAAACTGTGCTCCGTTTACCTCCATACCATTGCGAGCTCAATCCCATTGAGCTCATATGGGCAGAGGTTAAAAATTATATAGCTAAGCACAATACAACTTTTAAATTTTGTGACCTCAAAGGACTTTTCAAAGAAGCACTAGAATTAATAACAGCGCAAAAATGGGAAAACTGTATTAAGCACGTGAAAGACAAAGTTGAAAAGAGAATGTGGGAACTGGACAATATTTTAGAGGAACAAGTCGAGCCATTCATTATTGACGTTGGTGCTTCAGGCAGTAGCGATGATGAAAGCTCATCAAGCTCATCTTTCCAATAAAATATGTCGTTCATCAAATTCGGTAAGTTATAAGTAATTATAAAGCTACTGTATTTTTTAATTAATTATTGACATTTTTGAACCCATTTTGGCAAAACCTATTCAAGAATCTACTTTCTGACAATGTTCAACCATGCACATTTTTTTACGTTTTGAACGTTTCAATTTGGTTACATATTTACCTAGAAATCAAAAAATATACTAATCAATATTCTAAAAGCAATTTTAAGAGATATACGATTATTTTTAATTTAGGCTAATTTAAACGCCATTTTGAGATTATATTCGACTGTATTTCACCAAACATCAGGCGGCATCCGAAGCTGGAAATCGAAGCGAAAATTTTGAAACCCTTATGTATATTTACATCATTATATATTTCTTACCCCACCCCCACATGATCCTATATCCATCACTAATCGTATACACATCGAATTGTGCTAATTTACTACAAAGTTACGCAAAGCAGCATCTACTATCTAAAATATGTACTGCGTGACTCTTAATACGTCCCTGCCGAATGTTACAGCGTTCGATGATCACGTGGTCTTGTTTATGTCCGGTCTATCTCTTATCTGAATATACTGTAGATACCTTTTTTTGATGATTCAATGTAGAGTCGCGCGGGCTGAAGTACGAGTGGGGAGGCGGGCCCAGTTGAAAAACAATTGAATGTTGGGCAGTTAGGCAGCTAACAGGTGGGCTGAAAATTCCGTACCGTTTCAATGAAAAAATATTTTTTTCGTCAAAATTCGCTTTTATTATTCAACATAGTTGCCTTCAAGGGCTATACAGCGATTATAACGTTCTTCAAGTTTTTCGATACCCTTCCGGTAGTAATCCTTCGGCTTGTCCTCAAAATAGGCTTCAGTTTCGGCGATGATTTCTTCGTTGCTGTGAAATTTTTTTCCGGTGAGCATTCTCTTAAGGTCTGAGAAGAGGAAATAGTCGCTTGGAGCAAGGTCCGGAGAATACGGTGGATGGGGGAGCAAATCGAAGCCCAATTCATGCAATTTCGACATCGTTTTCATGGACTTGTGGCACGGCGCATTGTCCTGGTGAAACAAGATTTTTTTTTTCTTCATTTGTGGCCGTTTCTTGGCGATTTCGGCCTTCAAACGCTCCAGTAACACTATATAATAGTCGCTGTTGATAGTTTGGCCCTTTTGAAGATAGTCGATGAAAATAATTCCTTGCACGTCCCAGAAAACAGAGGCCATAACCTTGCCTGCTGACTGTTGCGTCTTTCCACGTTTCGGAGGTGGTTCGGATGCAGCCGTCCACTCGGCCGACTGGCGATTTGACTCCGGTGTGTAGTGGTGGAGCCATGTTTCATCCATGGTGACGTATCGGCGAAAAAAATCGGTTTTATTGCGCAAAATCACCTCCAAACAGGCCTCAGAGTCGTCGATGCGTTGTTGCTTTTGGTCAAATGTGAGATTGCGCGGCACCCATTTCGCACAGAGCTTTCGCATATCCAAATATTCATGAATGATGTGACTGACACGTTCTTTTGATATGTTTAAGGCCTCAGCTATGTCAATCAACCGTATTTTGCGGTCTCCCAAAATTATTTTGTGGATTTTTTTCACGTTTTCGTCCGTAACGACCTCTTTTGGGCGTCCACTGCGTGCGTCGTCTTCAGTTGACATGTGACCGGTACGAAATTTAGCAAACCACTTGCGAATGGTTGCTTCGCCCGGGGCAGAGTCCGGATAACACTCATCAAGCCATTTCTTGCATTCGACGGCACTTTTTTTCATCAAAAAATAATGTTTCATTAACACACGAAACTCTTGACTTTCCATGGTTTTCAAAAATAACAAAAGTAGCGTCACTCTCGATACGATAACTCAAAAACTAATGATCCAACAGCTGTCAAATTTTGACAGGCATCTTTTGAAGGTTGGTACTAGCTAAGAAGCGTATGGATTTTATTCTGGTGGCGCCATCTCATAGAAACGATACGGACTTTTCAGCCCACCTGTTATTTGTGTTTCTCCTGCCAACTTTATCAGTTTCGTTTGCTACATATCACGCTTTCGCTTTTTGCTCGCGAGCCACGTATAAGTGATTTCCCTCCGGCTCACATTGCCGATATCCATTATTATTATGGAATGTACCGAGGGAGTGCTAGAGCTGCTTGCACAGCTTATCTAGCTGCATTTCCAAATCGACGCCCTGTTCCACCAGCCCGTAGCTTCCAAGAAGTACATAGAAGACTGGCTAACACTGGACTTTGCCTCGAGATCGCCGCAAACCAGGTGTTATTATTCATGTTGCTATCGAAGAAGCCATTTCGGATAATTTGTTTGCTGACCCGACTACTAGTACGAGACGTTTGGCGTTACGTCATGGCGTATCCCAGAAATCGGTTTGGCGCATCTTGAGGAAAGCAGGGTTGCATCCATACCGTTATCAAAGGGTGCAGCACCTGCATGAAGATGTGGATTGGCGTCCAAGGTGCGTTATGTCTACATGGATTTTAATAAAAACAAGAGACAATCCTGAATTCCCGAAAACAATTCTGTGGACAGATGAATCTCAATTCACGAGAGACGGCATCGTGAACTGTCGTAATTTACATAAGTGGTGCCCAAAAGATGAAAACCCTAGGCTGAAAAGGGCTTCAACATTTCAAGTGAAATTTTCTGTAAATAATACTCCCGAGGACATTAAACGGAGAGAGATTTCTGGAGCTTTTGCGGACTGAACTGCCCTTGCTGTTGGAAGAACTGCCGCTGCAAACCCGTCGAAGAATGATGCTTCAAATGGATGGATGTCCTGCCCATTACTCGCTGATTGTCAGGTCTTTTCTTAATGAAAATTATCCAGGCCGCTGGATCGGTCGACAAGGACATGTTGGGTGGCCGGCGCGTTCCCCAGATCTCACACCTCTGGACTATTTTTTATGGGGGACAATGAAACAAAGGGTGTACAGCAGTTCCATAAACAGCGAAGCGGAACTTGAAGAAAGAGTTTTGCGTGTTGCAAACGAAATCAAAAATGATCCCGAGATGATTCGTAGGGCAACTCATCAAACTTCACTTCGCGCTACAATGTGTTTGCAGCAACGGGGTGGCCATTTTGAACATTTGATGCATTAAGCCAAAATGATTACCCTATAGACAAGTCTATTTGATTTTATTTGTTAAAGATAATGAATGATTCATGTAGGTTAATACTGTTGTTTTATTCCTACTCTGGCGTTGAACTGAGTTCACTGCTTTTTGAAACGCTGATTTAAAAACTTGTATCTAAGTAATAAACTTACAATTTTTCACTATTAGGAAGCTAATAACATGTAGAATAACTTAACATTTAAAGAAGGTAGGGTAAATAGGACAATTTTTATTGAAATTTAGCAATTGTTTTAAAAATCATTGAAAAAATAGTGAGTTTCAGCATATTCCTCTTTATTTTAAATTTATAGCATTTAATTTCGTGGAAAGTTTCACTTTACTGGTACGGCCAATTATTTGCAATCACTACAAAATCTATTCCAATATGACAGGACATTCAGTTTAAAAGTTGTAACGATTTATTTAAAGAGGGTTAGCAGCTGACTATAAAAATTTTAAAATATTCATAAAAAATCAATTATTGTCTTTAATTATTTTTTTTATAATTTTTCCGTCAATAAAATAAGGTGTAGTTTCCTTGATTTTGCTATGTGCACTTTATGAAGACTCACACTGTATAATAGTTATTTGATATTTATTTTATGATCCGCAGTGATCGGTTCAACAACATTGCGTTTCTACCCTCTACCATAATAGGCATCAGGAAAATAACGACCACAGGCTTTATGTTGTAAACATTTTTACCCATCAGATACGATGCCTGGTAAAAAAGAAGAATCCGGTGCTACCAAAACTGCCAAGCCTAAGGATAAGCCCCCACCACCTGCATACAAACCTCATGCCATTCAAACGCTGAGAAATAGAAAATCGTCAAAATATCAGTACGAAGGGAAATCACGCAGAAAACGTATTGCTGAAGATGGTACGAAGAGTTTGGAACTGCTGAGAGGAGTCTGCACAATCACAAAGGTAGGCAAAGGAATGCTCCGTTACGTATATACATATCTCAATTTGTTTTCTCGTAGTTGATTAGCAAAGAGAACTGAATGTAATACTTTCTACTTGTTCCCTGGCTTCAGTACTTCCACTCGTGCCATTTGTACTCTCCATGGTTAAGTATAACCAAAACAGTAACCACAGAAACCACAACAATAACAATCACACAACAATTCTTATAAAAACACACAATATGCGATCGCTCAACGAAACACGTTCCAATGCGTTGCCGACGCCTATGAGTCTGCCGGTCGAGGCGCGTCTTTGATTTCATTGGTTCTAGCGGCGGAGAACAATCAGCCATTATTTCCATCTGTGTCTGTGCTGTTGACCACCGCAAAGCCACAGAAACGACATATGTCGTACGCTATACGGCTGTACTGGAAGGAAGCCGGGATCGAGCTCTGATCACGTGTTGATCACGCGTATGAGTCATTACAGTTTTAAATAGTTGTAATAGAAGCGCGCAGCTTGAGTATAAGGGCATATAGCGGTCCATAAGATGCCTATACATCGGCTCCTCATGGTGGCCGGTTTGCCTCTAATTTCGTTATTCATAAGTTCATGAAGTACGCTCTGAATAAGAAAACAACTATTTTGCGTAATATTATTGTCACTTTGTATATTTTTTTCATTTTTCAGCCTAACAGAACAGTGATTGACTCGAACACTTTGAGACTGCATTCAAACAGCACAGTGGTATTACTGATTACATTTTCAATTGCCGTCACCACAAGGCAGTACGTAGGCAATCCTATTGACTGTATGGAGATTAGGTAAGTGTTTTTCAACCAACACCCCACGTCGTACAAAGTCGGAGAGAATAGAAGGAACCAAGTCCTTGGTGCTTACATTGCATTGTTTGTTGCCAAAATTGCGTAAAATTTAATGCTTACTTTGGACTCATTCGACTGCCATTACCTACCAAGGGACAACGTTGTATCAACTCAGTACTAACCGGTTGAAGGATGTATCAAGAAGTATCATGTCCTGAAATCGTCTAACACCACAAATATTATTAGCAAACTGAGCTGATTTCTGTCTGTAGTATGCAATTTTATCCTGACTAGAGGCAAACAAACCGTATGCTTGGCTGCTCTGAAGTCGTTCTACAAAGGTTATTGAGGAATCTTCAGGAATTCTACAGATTAAATTTTTTAACTGCAGAGTCGGTGCAAAGATTTTCAAGTTATTGCAATAGAATCACTAAAAATCTGACAATTTATATATTTATAAATTAATGCGCTTATTTTCGTTGCAATTTTTTGGAAATGTAAACTTTAAATATATTTTTGCATCACAGTAAAACCATTCTGTCTTACTGTTATGCAAAATAAACATCAGCCGATAATATGAATGAATTTCCCTGAGTCGTACAATAGATTTTTATAAGAAACAATGTTCTTCAAAGAAACTGTAATAAAAACAAAAATCTAAAATTTTTTCCATTTTAATTTGGAATTTATTGCACTTTCGTAGCATGTTAGAGCACATATTCGTCACAAGGTTACAGATTAGCGAGTAGAAGTGATCAAAATAAATAGTAAATTGACAGATTTTTAGTGGTTCTATTGCAATAACTTAAAAATCCTTATCCCGATTTTTGTATTCAAATATGTTATCTGTGGGTGTTCTATGGGTAGAAAAATAAGCCAAGATTCATTCCCCTAGCTATTATACAGGGTGGCCCATCCATGCGTGAACGGAATATTACTCATAAACAATTTCATTTTGGGAAAATCTTTTTATGGGATGTTATACATGACAATTGAGGGCACATTTCTGAAATATTGGCAATTATACAGGGTGTCCAATTTCGACCTAGATATCATAGTTGTAATTTTTCAAATGGAATGCTTCAAATTTTATTGCATATTTGGATGATCCAATTCAAAAGCAGAAAATTGATATCACATACTATGGAGTATTGGTAATTAGCTATTGAGATGTAAGGTATTTTGTCTAGGAAAACCCCCCATTCGGCAACTCTTCAGTCCATCATTTTGAAATTTGGAGTGCTGAATTTTACATAAAAAAAACTTACACACCTGAGCTTTTATGTTACTTGTTATTTTTTCAAATTTTAATTTTTGCTTTTGGCACGCCTTTTATGGAACGGCTTAATTCGCTAAAATATCGCATCATCCTTGGGAACAAACAAACTGTTCATTAGCTACAAACTGCCGGCTTTGTGACCATTAGAATAAAAACGTGTTTGAAAATGAATTTTTCGAAAGAAGACATGGTGAATATGGTGTTCGTTTTGGGCGAAGCCCAAAGAAATAGTTTCCTAGCATCTCGAATTTATAAGCAACAGTACCCTAATATGCGACATCCAAGGCCAGAAACATTTTCCACACTACGAGAACGTTTTGAGTCAAGTGGAGCAGTGGAATATAGTAAAAAATGTATAAATAATCCAAGTGTCACCAATGAGGGGAATCAATAAATTGAAGGTTCTATTAAAGTTGCAAGAAAATCCCCATTTAAGTGCACGGCAAACTGGAGCAGAAACTGATATATGAATACTTAAATTTTTTGATCGAGCATTTGCCTTTGCTTTTGGACTTGACGAAAATTATTTTTAACAGTATTTTGCACAAATAAAAAATGAAGCGGAAATTTTCTTCCAGGCGCGATCCGTATGCACTCTTAGCACGTTTTCACCAAATAATTCGTCCACTTACAATTTCTCCCAAACATTTTGCAATATTCCTTAGACTACGATTAGATTATACTGTTAATTTGATTGATTGACTGAAAAAAATGTTTAAAAAAATACAAAAAATCAACAAACAAACTAGGCTTTTCGTTCCTTTTGGTCTCTCTGGAGGAGGAATCTGTATGATTGCACCAATGTTTTCCTATGTCTGAAATGGATCCTCAATTGGACTGCTGAAAATGGAACAGCCTTGCACATGGTAAAATTCTCAGCATATAAATCTGATTTTCCAATACACATGTCAGTCAGATGAAGTAGAGATAAACAACCAATTTGGATTCTATAATCTAAAACAAGATAACCGGACCAATAGGACGAAGAAGGCATCTTTGGTTGAAAATCATATCAGGACGTTCATATTCAGAACGTCACTTAGGCCCGTATCGTCAGTCGTCCCTACAATTGTAGGGCGCCTTTATGGCCTCCTTGATTGTCATAGTTTTCTGCTTCTCCGAGTCAGAACTCTATTTTGAGGTTATGTCGCAAACATCTATTTTCATCAAATTGTGCTTGCTTTTGAGTCATATCTTGTTTTATCAGCCTGAAATTTCCTACAATTTAAAAAGAAAACATACCTTAACAATAGGAGAGCGCTGACGCTGACACGGGACGAGTGTAATCTAGAAATTTTTGAAGGAGACTAAGGAGGATGACAATCAGGCAGGCCATAAACGCGCCCTACAATTGTAGGGATGACTGATGATACGGGCCTTAGTGAATAAGTGACGAGGGTTGCTTCATAAGTAGGGTTCTCACATTTTTTCAGACACGAGGAATTTATTAGACAAAACGAAACAACGACAAATGTCAACCGCCTGTTTCCGGATCGTGATTCTCCGATCTTCGGGCAAGATTTGTTCTATCTTCGTCTTAACTTCCTCGGAGATCGACGGCCTCCTGCTTCGTTGTTCATCGTGGGGCGGCCTTCAGAGTACCATTTGGTAACACGTTGAATATACACGTTTCCCCCATATACTTCACTCAAGTGGCGATGAATTTCTATGGGTGGTAACGTTTTTGCGTACAAAAATCGGATGACCGCGCGAATTTCGCACCATCGCAAATAGGCGCTTCTTGTTGGGATCGGTGGTGGGGGAGCCGACAAACACGATGGTGTTCCCAGATTTCGTCTAGCATCACGCGTTTTGAAGCTTATTTTTCAGGTAACCCTCGTATATGTAAGCTAATTGTAAATAGCTGGTCAAAGTCATAGTGTCAAAAATCGTATATCATTTTTTTTCTCGTACTTTTCGCAAGTTCAATTATCGTTTTTATTCTACATATTTGTACGTTAATTAGTATTTCTTTTCCTTTTAATTTATCTCTAATGTACGCTTATGTATGTATTATTGTCCTGTAATTGAGAGACAGTTGGCCAATAAAAATTATTAGCATAAGTGATTCTCTATAGGCATATAGTTACACAATGTAGGTTCTGGAATATAGAAAAGTTGCTAAGATGACTAGAGCATAAGCAAGGGTCCATCAAACCAACAGCTAAATATATACTATGTGAAACACGTGTGCATATTCTTCCTCCTCCACGCATAACCAAATCCATGCAGCTGAAGTCACTAAAACAGATGTGTATGTTTAGAATATCCAGAGCTTTCCCAGTTTTCTCTTATTTCCATCACAAATACAGTGTGCTATTTTCGGTGCGATTTATAAGTATTTATTACTTCTGGTGTACGCAGTACAAAACAAAGCTTTTGTTAATGGATATTAGCCGGTTTTATAGCAGATTTGCAGTCGTAACGGTCATTTTATTTGACAAATTCGATAATTTCATTGTTTGACAGTTTAGAATTTCCGGAAACGAATGAAATCGTTGACTTATTGGTTCAGGCCCGGTCTATTGTTACTTTCTTAAGAGGTCCACCCAATTCTTCAGTGACGAATCTATGGTTGTTTACATTTTCGGAAAAAGGATATTAAAATACGAACGTTTGTTCATTTTTGTCAGGATACACATTTAAATGTTTAGATTTAGTCATCGGAGAATCCTGCTGCCTGACCATTAACCCAGCTAGCAACTGGTAATTCCATAAGTTTTGCAGTAGTTCCCAACGGAATCTGTCCAGTTGCCGTTGTTTTCTTGCCGCAACGTGAGATCGAGCGTTGTCGTGAAGCAGAACGACGGACGCCGCTAGAGAGAAAGGTTCGCCGACGGTTTCAAATTGCGCAACTAATTTTTGAATTTTGCTGATTAACATGGAGGTAAACAAAGCAGCATAACCACACAACCAACACAAACAGGAACGTGGAACGTAGTGATGGTGAATGAGACTGGACAAGAGTGTCTGAGGTTGAACGCAGGTCACGTGGCGTAATATTTTGTTACTGTACCTCCTAAGGAAAGGTTGTATTAAAGCGGGTAGACTAAACAGAGTATTATAGAATTCTACCAAGAAAATTTTAGTGCATATGCATAAATCTTTTTTTTTTTTTCACGAACTGTATATAATGACATTCAGCCTTGTTTATGAACTTGGTTTGAGTCAGATCTCTATACAAAATACCTGTCTTATTGAAGTAGGTTGAACAATTTCGCCTTATGACATAAGCAAGAGGATTTAAAATCTCTCTCATATGAAGCTAATATTAACTGATATTTGGAACAGTGACCACCCCTCTTAACGAAATCATCTTCGACTTACTGTAGTATAATAATATTGTCCAGCTTCCGCGATGATAATAATGTCAGAAAATATTTTTATTTGCAGAGGTATTCCGGAGGATATATTGAACTCATATTGCTGGATACATTCGACATATATAATAATTGAGTCCGTGAAAGAGGCGAAACAGTGGGGTCATTACCCGGGAGTTCACTACACGGGGAAAAGTCCAGTCAGACTCACCAAGTACTACCAGTGGGTCGCATTCTTCCTGTTGTTCCAGGTGAGTAGAGTTTACCTTGTGTCATAACATTCTACAAAATATGGTAGGTGGTAGACTGCGGAAGTACCACCCGGCGGATCTCCAGGGCGGGGCCAAGATGTGTCCATGTTGCATGCCCACGTGTTCCCTCGCGAGTCCCACCCCGTTCCGCTGTACTCCCCTAGAGCCCCACGGCACCCATGGTGGTGGTTCATTTCTAGCTTTAAATACGTCTCAAGAAACCAATTGAATTATCATCAACACAAATTATTAGCAAACACGCCCAGCTACAAATCTAGTCCACAAAAAGTATACAACAGCTAGTGCTAAGCTGACAACTTGTAGAAAAACCTACCTTATGTCACAAAAAGCCAATACAGTGTCAAAAAAACGGCCAAATCTCACTTTTCAAGATACGTTCGGGGCCCGTTTGCCGAAATTGTAGTCAATATTCTATGAAGCAGATGCCACCCCTAGAAGAAGGATTAACGCACATCTTTAATCTTTTTTCATTCAACACACAAAGTTTTTTACATTATATAGTTCCAAATTTTTTAATGCTGATAAAAATATGTGTGCAGTAGAAACTTTGTTTTTCATTACCTTTTTTTTATGTGTAAATTGGAGATACATCAATTACGTGTTAATAGTATTTTTGGCAAACTCTCAATGAATGTAGCTTGTCTATGGGGGATATTGTGGATGCGTAGCCAGTGTCTGACTGAAATGTCTTCAAATTATACGTATCAAATACTGCATTACGAGAATTTATACTAATCAAACAAAAGTCTTTGTCTTGTGAGCAGCATTATATCGACTCTTAGCTGGCGAACCCCTATGAAGAAACTGTGAAAATTAACTATTTAGTCCAGTTAGGCCAGTTAGATCTAAAGGTTTTCCTCTTACAAAAAATTGTCTTCTGTGTCGGAGTTAAACAATCTGGATTTCGACAAGGTCATAATACAGCTTCGGCACTTTGTGATTTAGCGGACAACATAACAATGGCGCTTAACAATCAAAAAGCAGTATTGTAGATTTTCTGAAAAATCTCTTTCGTTTATTCAAACCTACCTTGAAAATCGGTTCCAAAAAGTTTGATTAAATTAAAAGTACTCTACCACACAAAAAATTGCTCTGGTGTACCGCAGGGATCTGTGTTCGGACCCCTATTATATATCTCAGATTAAGAAACGGATGTAAAATTATGCAGCATACAGGTCAAAATCAGAGAGGTGGGCATTATGCTTCTGACAAAGTTTTTCCTAATACAATAACAGGATAGTACTACATTAATCATCTCAAAATGTATGTGCATCATTACCGATCACTTAGCATTTTTATTTTTTATAATAATGTTTTACTTGATTTTAAACAAAAACAGGTCGAAATAGTCATTTCGGGAACACGTCCTTATACCATCTTTCATATACTAAGTGACATATAAATCCGAACACCCAGTTTAAATGGTTTTATTTTAATAAAAGTTGGTGAATGTATTTATCTTACTGTAAATAACAAGTGAAAAAATTTTCAGCCTTATCAGTTGGACGTTCCGGTTTTTATACTGCTTTTTTTAATTCACTAACGCTCTAAAAATGAATATTTCAGTCGCAGTAAAGAATAAACGTTGGCCGATTTTGGTTCTTATCATCCTTACGATGCCTAGAGTACGGAGACCTGTACGATTTCGTCAACTTAATGAGTTTGATAGGGGCCGTATAGTGGGACTTCGGGAAGCTGGACTTTCTTTTCGGGCAATTGCAGTTAGAGTGCAAAGAAGTATAGACACTGTGGTTAGGTGTTGTCAGGCATGGCTTCGAGAAAGCCGTACGCAAAGAGCAAGGGGCACTGGACGCCGCCGTAGAACAACAGACCGTGAAGATCGCCGCCTAAGATTATTGGCCTTAAGGGACCGTTTCTCCACTACCAGGTCCATCGCAAATGAATGGTTTGCAGAACACAGAATACCTATTGGCATGCGAAGTGTTTACCGACGAATGAGAAGTTTTGGCTTGTTTTCATACCGGCCACACTGGGTCCTCCCTTTAACTCGAGAACACCGACGTAATCGCCTTGAGTGGTGGAGACAACGGTCACTCTGGGATCAGGAATGGAACAGTATTGTCTTTAGTGACGAGTCTCGATTTTGTTTAGGCATGCACGATAGTCGTGCCAGGGTTAGAAGGCGACGTGGTGAAAGGAGGAATCCACAGTTTTTTGTTGAAAGACATGTTCATCACACTGTTGGAGTTATGGTTTGGGGTGCTATAGCTTATGGTTCCAGGTCACCTTTACACGTTGCAAGAGTCACAATAGACTTCTTTCAACATAATGATGTCACGTTGTTAACATGGCCACCAAGATCTCCAGACTTAACCCCAATTGGGCACGTGTGGGATATGATGGGTAGGAGATTGCTCAATTTGCAACGTCCTCCTCAGACTCTAGACGCACTTCGAGAGGAGTTGGTGGTTGCCTGGAATGAGATACCACAGGAGGACATTGACCACTTGATCAGAAGCATGCCTAGGCGCGTTGGAGAATGCGTAGCACATCAGGGTGCATCCACACATTATTAAAGGTCAAAGGGCTTTAAAGCAGTGCAATCATTTTGAATTTTATAATGTACTTATTATGCTTCATTAAGTACTTATACAAAATTTTATTAAAATAAAACCATTTAAACTGGGTGTTCGGATTTATATGTCACTTAGTATAGTTCAGACCACGGCATCGTCCTTATACCATCTTTCATAGTTCAGGCCACGGCATCTTTATCCTCTGTTGTGCAGAAATTTAAAATTAAGTTTGATCAACAAGATTGGGTGGTATAAAATGGTCAAACACCCGCAATCACCTACGCATGCGCGGCTTGGTGTTTTCTTGCCAAGACGCACATGCAGAAACTGCAAGTCCTGCAAAACAGAACCCTACGCACAATTACTAACGCCCCTTGGTACGTGTCAAATGAGACTATTCATAGAGATCTTTATATCCTATATTTAAGAGATTACGTAAAACAACAGGCGCAGCGGCGTTATAGTCAAGCGGAATCGCACAGCAACCCTCTGTTGCGAGATTTAGTAGACTACAGAGTCGGGCTAGTTCGCAAACATTCCAGGCCGCGCCTCGCACTGTGATCAAAATTAAATTGTAAATTCAGACCAGGCAAAATTATTTCAGTATACAAAAACCGATCAAAATTATTTTTTGGAGTTACAAAATAATTCGAGTAGTCAAAGCAATAATGCTTAAGCTATTTCAAATGATTTACTTCTTTTCTTCGCTCTATTTCTTCCCTCCTTTCTTTCCTTCTTTCTCTTTCCCCTTAAGCATGTTTGGTATCTGGGTAGCCAGACCTGATAGACTAATAGACCGACGAGACTTTTAACTAAGAGCGGACCGCTCTGACAAATAACGACGAATAGTAGTAGTTCAGACAATTAATTAAATTCATATCATTTTAATTTCTTCATATTTTGGCTATTCAAATGCTGTCTGACATTTATCAAGGCCAATTGAAGTGGGAAGAGGCTCGTAGTATCTAAGTCTCTAATGCTGTAATATTATTACAAATAAAAAAGACGTTGGTTATTATTTTTATTATTATTATGTACACATACCGCCTACCTAGAACATCAAAACTTTACGCATAATAAAATTATCATATATTCTTTGTCCTTCGTATGTCAAGTTCTTTACTCCGATCCTCTATCCAACCACAGTTGCCGCCTAGGGCTGACTCCACATCTGTCGTCCCATTTCCGAGGAATATTTTTGGCAGCTGGCAGCTCGGATTCGAGCTCACGATTGCACATAACCGTTGCCGTTATTCTATTATTTGCGCTAAACTGTTTACACTAGCCACGTATACATTGTTTACATCTCAAGGTGGGCACCCATATATTATAACAACAAGTCACTTTCGCATCAACAGTTTACGCTACCGGCTACTTATAATGGGCGATCAAAATTCGATGTTGCAACTACATCAATCATAATTTATTGTATTATTGTATTAGGAGTGGTAGATTTATTGATAATTGAATGGGAATTGGCATTGTCCCAATATACAATCAAAATTCGACAGGAGATGCTCAGACCACCGACATCAGTTGTTAGGTCAGCATTGATAAATAGATGGTTAACGTTCGAACCAGTTACTCCCGATGTCTTCCACAATTTTGTTCGAAGGAGTACCTGACACTCCAAAGCTGCTTTTACTTCCCACGCCACAAATAAACATCGTTAGTTAGAAGAGTATAGCTTTTCTTCCCAAACAACGATCCCACATCTGTCCTTTGTCAATCAAATTTGTTGACGCTTGCATTTTCGGAAAAGAATATTGTAACGAAAACACTTGTTTTACTGTTCAAAGTCTAATTTATTACGTTTAGAGTAATATACATGGTGTTTCAGTTTATTGTTGCATAACTTTATGAATCGACAGAACTTTTAAAATTAATGCATAAAGTCTATATAAACGTGGGTCGAAAAATGCGTGGCTTCCGAAATACAGGGTGTTTAAATTTACTTTCTAAAATAGTTTTTTTTAAATATTTCGAACAATATTTGATGTATAACAGTGAAAATTGGTATATAAGGGTTTTTTGGTACGACAAAACTAACCATGGGCATAGTTTTACTGTAGCCGCTAGAGGGCGCTCTCTACTGTACATGTAGTGCATTAAAATGACCGAAAAATTTTTCTTAGTGAAATTTTTTGCTTTTTGAATAAAAAAAATGATTCTTCGCACTTTTCAACATAAAGCTCTCTTGTCAATTTTCGTTATAGTTAGCCGTTTTTGAGATATTTCGATTTTTAATGTTCGATGCATTTTTAATTATTTATGATAAAATCGTTAAAAAGTCAGTATCTCGATAATTTTTAGAAGTAGGCTGTGCCTGCAAATATTTTTGAAATTGAAAGCAGAATAAGGTTAAACGTCAATTAGTTGACAGTTAGTTTTGTTGTCTGTTGAAGCCTGAAACGTTTTTTGCAAATGTGAATGCACGAAATTTAGTTTCTTTTACCTGTTTTATAAATATGCCATTTTTATTCTCCAATCAAGAGTTAGCGGATATTCATTTTGTGTATGGCTTTGTAAATGGAAACGCAGCAGAAGAAGCCAGAGAATACGTACGAAGATTTCCAAACAGATCACATCCAACTCGCTCAGTATTTGTAAGAGTGCATCGCCAAATAATTAAAAATGGTTTTGGAAATCTCCAAAGGGATCAAAACATAAATGTTCGTCAGCGCAGATTTACCCGTATGATTCTGCGTGAGTTTGATAGAGATACGACCACAAGTGTTAGGAGAGTTTCTGGTGCCTTGGGAATTTCAGCAAGCCATGTTCACCCTGTTCTTAGAAATGACCATAGACGTCCTTACCTTTTGCAACCTGTGCAAAGACTACAGCTAGGGAACGGAGAACGAAGAATCACATTTTGTCAGTGGATTCTTGATAGAACTGATAATAATAGGGAGTTTTTAAGTAACGTTTTATGGACCGATGAGTCATGCTTCACTAGACGTGGAGTGGTAAATTTTCATAATCAACATATTTGGTCGCATGAAAATCGCGCATGCAGTTCGGGAAAGAAATTTTCAGCATGAATTTAGTGTGAACATGTGGACTGGTATCTACCGTAATCGACTATTTGGACCCTACCTTGTGCCTGCAAGGTTAAATGCTGCGACCTTCTTGGAATTTTTAAAGGCTGAACATGCAAATATGTGGGATGATGTTATGTTAGATTTAAGAAGATTGGTCTGGTTCCACCTTCATGGTTGTCCAGCTCATTATTCGAGAATAGTTAGAAACTGGCTGGACGAAAATTATCCAGAAAGATGGATCGGCCGTGGAGGACCAGTCGCCCGGCCTCCACGATCCCCTGACCTAAATCCATTAGATTTCTTTGTGTGGGAATTTCTAAAAGAAAAAGTGTACCAGACTTCCGTAACCACAAGAGATATGCTAATAGACAGAATCAGGAATGCATGCGATGAAATAAGGCCTTATTTGAATAACGCTATACCACGTTCCATCATTCGTAGATGTGAATTGCGTTTTGAACAATTGGGTTTAAATTTCGAGCAACTACTTTAGATTTTGTATGTTTGTCCTGACTATCCAATAGCATTTTAGTTGTAAATAGTTAATTTAATTTGTTAAAAATAATATTGGAAAATTAAACAAATCAATATTCTGTTTTTTGTGTTCATTTGGAGTTAGGAATTATTGCTGTGTTTAAAAACACAATCTTATCTTCTTAATTACTTGTAATGCCCAAATCGAAAATGTAAAAAAAATATTATTTTCTCATAAATAATTAAAAATGCATCGAACCTTAAAAATCGAAATATCTCAAAAACGGCTAATATAACGAAAACTCACAGGAGAGCTTTTTCATGTTGAAAAGTGCGAAGAATCAGTTTTTTTATTCAAAAAGCAAAAAATTTCACTAAGAAAATTTTTTTCGGTCATTTTAATACACTTCATGTACAGTAGAGAGCGCCCTCTAGCGGCTACAGTAAAACTATGCCCATGGTTAGTTTTGTCGTACCAGAAAATCAATTTTCACTATTATACATCAAATATTGTTCGAAATATTTAAAAAAACTATTTTAGAAAGTAAATTTAAACACCGTGTATTTTGGAAGCCAGGCATTTTTCGACCCATGTTTATATAGACTTTATGCATTAATTTTAAAAGTTCTATCGACTCTTAAAGTTATGCAACAATAAACTGAAACACCCTGTATAACGCTTGTAATATAATTTATGACATTTATGACCATGTAGACTGGACTATGGCGTTGCGCGTTGCTTGACTGTCTCGACTGCGACTGACTCGTTCCGTCCTCTGATCGGATATTTATTTTCCTATCGACGAGTCAAGAAACATTCCAGCGTTTTCGATAGCTTCCATTGAAGTAGTCTAGATGGCAGCCGATTCATCTTCATACGTGTCGATTACTTGCGATGACGTCGCGAACGGTCCAAATCGCAAGCACGATCCATTCGTGGTCGCGCAACTCTGGTTGTCTAGCGTCGCATTTACGAAGCCGCTTCAGACTACCCAAGGTACCAGCTATACGAGGGCGTTACAATATGTTCGTGGGTTTTCGCACCTTTTTTCCGAGAAGGGTGGTCCAAAGAAAAGGTTGCACTGCCTTATGGTATATTTTGAGAAAAGCGCTAGGACACGCTAATTTTGATTTCTAGGTGAACTTTATCTATAGCCGTACAATACAGGGTGATCCAAAAATAAGATATTGCGTTACACTTTAGATTTTTAAATGGAAATAGAAATTCTAGAAACTGTGATAATGGGGATTATATCGTATACGGTACATGAAAATCAATATACAGGGTGGCCCATGCATGAGTGGACGGAACATTACTCATAAACAAATAGATTTTGGGAAAATCTATTTATGGCATGTTATACATGCATGCTGGAAGTACATATGCATCCGAGTTTGCAATTTGACATTCTCCAAAGGAAAGGCAAATGCTCGATCGAAAAATTCAAGTATTCTGTACCTGTTAATCTGTTGTCGAAAAAGAAATGTCCGTTAACTTGTCTGCCAATAACTCCTCCCCAAACATTGAAGCTCCATTCATATTGGAAATCTATTTGCCTAACCCAGTAAGGATTTTCCATTGCATAATAGTGCATGTTATGCCTGTTGACAACACCTATGCTGTTAAAAGTTGCCTGCTAAAAAGAACCTTATTTAGCATTATTCTACTAAACTCCATTCTACCTGCGAAATCCTGAGGACGAAGACCTTGATGCAAGCATACGTATAGGTGATATGGATGGTAGCTATGCTTGTGAATAATCCTTTGGACAGAAGTTCTGCATATATCAGTTTCTGCTCCAATTTGCCGTGCACACAAATGAGGATGTTCCTGCAACTTTAATAGAACCTCCCTCATTGGTGACACTTGGATTATTTATACATTTTTTACTATATTCCAATGCTCCACTTGATTCAAAACGTTCTCGGCCTTGGATGTCGCATAAGTGCGGGATACTAGGAAACTATTTCTTTGGACTTTGCCCAAAACGAACACCATATTCACCATTTATTCTTTAGAACAATTCATTTTCAGACACGTTTTAGTTATAATACGAAGCTAATCTTGACAGTTTGTAACTAATCAACAATTTATTTGTTTCCGAGGATGATGCGATATTTTAGGGAATTAAGCCATTCCATATTAGACTAATAACCGGAAAAATAGCCGTAAAACCCCTGATGAGTCTAGTGTAAATAAAAGCTAATAAAAAATTGAATCCAAACAAGCACAACTATACAGGGTGATGCATTTGAAATTTTTGAGGAAAACTACAATTTGCGTTTTTCACCAACCTCTATGAGCAAAAATTAAAATTCGAAAAAGTAACAAATAACATAAAAGGCGAGATATGCAATTTTTTTATACAAAATTACGCACTTCAAATTTCAAAATGGCAGACTGAGGGGTTGCTGAAGTGGGGGGTTTTTCTAGACAAAACACCTTATATCTCAGTAGCTAATTACCAAAACTCCATAGTATGTTATATCAATTTTCTTCTTTTGAATTGGTTTATCCAAGTTTGATATGTAGGTCGAAATTGGGACACCCTGTATAATGGCCAATATTTTAGAAATATGCCCTCAAATGTCATGCATAACACCCGATAAATGGATTTACCCGAAATGTATTTGTTCATGAGTAATATTCCGTCCACACATGGATGGAGTTCCCATAAAAACAAGACTGCTTTAAAATTAAAAAGTCTTTTTGTGTCAAAAAAAAAAACAAAAAGCAACTTACACACTATCATTTCTGTGGTTTCATTTTTAACTGGTCGACTTTTTCGATGGCGATTACGGCGAATATTAGTCACAAATCCAGTTTCTTCAACTCTGCCACATGCTTATCGTTAATATTTTTGTCTGGATGTAACTTATTAAACAACCAGGCAGTAGCTCTTGCAATGCTAGCAATTTGGTAATGCAGTTTTGTTA